GGGAGTACATAAACAAAGAGAATTACAGATAAATCATAGAAGTAAAAGGAGGAAATAAAATTTGTAACTTAAATGCATACATAGCCGTGTGCGATAAGAAGAGAGTATGATCAGAATGATCGTGGCCGTAGATATGGTAAAAATAATGACCGGAGTCAATGTGGCCGTAGCCATAGTAAGGGATGATGACCGAAGTCATGGTGGCCGGAGCCATGATAAAAAATGATGACCGGAGTCATAATGGTCGGAGCCGTGATAAAGAATGATGACCGCAGTCATAATGGCTGGAGCCGTGGTAGAATATGTGACATGTAGTTACAGTAACCAGAGCCAAAGTAAAGCACATGTCTCTATGGCCGGAGCCGGAGTGAAGCATGTTGCACTAAGTCACTGTGGCCATAACCGAAGCGAAACACTTTGCAGGTTAAAAAGTGTAATATAAAAATAAACAGAACTGTTGAGTTAGGCTTAGGTGTAGAGATGGGGGTTATAATGGCCGGAGCCGTAATAATAAAATATAATGACCGAGGTCGTAATGGCCGGAGCCATAATAAAATATAATAACCGAGGTCGATGTGAAACATGTAATGCAGGATCGCTGTGGTCGGAGCCGAGGTGAAACACTTGCAAAAATTGAAAATGTGCAAAAGCGAACGAAGATGTTGAAATGGGCGTAAGTGGGCTCGTCTGAAAAATCTGACAGTTGTCCTTGGGATGACGTGTGCAATAAATGCAGTCATAAAAAGATAACTGCAACAGGTAAACGGGCAAATTTTAAAAAACGAACCGTCGAATTCAAAACGGTGCCGTTTAGGGTTGGCCGTTGAATTCCAAACGGTGTTAATAGGAATCGTAAGATTAAACGAATATCAGCCGTTGAGATCTAATTTTGCCCAGAAGTATAAATAGACATTTTCTTTGTAGAGAGAGGTGTACTTGAATTTCTTTTCCTGCAAAACTTCTGCGAAAAGCTTTACTGTGCGTTTCCTGTTCGTGAACTGCGGCATCAACTGGGGACCTCTACATCAAGCCTTTCGAAACCAAAATCAAGTAATGTATGACGAACCTCTGATTTTGAGTTTAATCGAAGTGTTTCTCTCCTTTCTCCCTTTCTGTGATTGATTTAAAGTCCTTTGAAGGAAGTTAGGGTTAGAGGTGAGGAGGATTTTGAATGTGCAACAA